GATCACATACAAAGCTGCTTCATGGCACGAGCTTCTGTCCTTGAGAGAGCAGCAAGTGCTGGAGCGCCGAGACATTCAAGTCATGGACATTCATGTGGGTTCTGGCGGCGATTGCGGCAGCACAGCCTGCAGCATGACCGATGATCATCCATGTTGGCTCCATTCTGATGGCGTTGTAGCGGACGTGCGATGATGAGATTGCAACCGCAGCAAGCACGTTTGTCACTTCTGTTGTCTTCGGCAGCAATACATCATAAGGTATTTCAAATGGTGGCATGATGACATTCCTTGACTCAGGGCCTGGTAAACGTGAATGCGAAGGCGCTGGTTGCTCCGCATGCACATCAACTCGGCCCTCTTGCACTACATGGTGCTGCTTTATATTCCCACTGCGTTGAATGATGCGTGAGACTACGTGGCAATCAAAGCTGTAGGATCCGAGTCCGATGGAGCGTTCGATCAACGACTGGGGTGCTCGATGCTCGGTCCATACAAAGTCCCCAACGAGGCGCTTTGCTTCACGCACATACAGCTGATGAGGCCAGTGTGGCGGATCCGAATCACTATCATACTCATCAGAACAATGTCCGAGCTGAGCTATTTCATCTCTTACAGAGGCTGGAACCGCCGAATCGTTTGACCAAAACCATAGCAGACCGCGCGTGAACTCAACATGGGCCCTCCATATGGATCTGCGTTCGTGGGTGCTTCCATTGGGGTAACCCCATGCTCCATTTGTCATATCAGTCCCGTGATTCATGCCGAGCATATCGCACTTTCGACAGGGCTTGGAACCACAGTCAGAATAATTATTTGGTATTGGGCCAAGGCAGTCCAAGCCTGCTTGGGCCAAAGACTTCGGAGGATTTGCTGCATAAATGCGTCGCCACAACTCCCATTCAGATGAATTGTAGCCTGGTGGCTTTGTAATGGGAATGCGATTCCCTGGCGAATCGGTCATGCACAGCCGGAAGTCATATGGTTGAATCCAGCGGTCCGCCTGGCCGACATCCACCGGAACGTCGGCTAGCACATGTGGTATCACCTGTGGTTCAACAGCACTAGCATCCCAATATGGATTGACCACAGCTCCAATGGACTGCGGGTTCTGACGGCCTGCGTGGGTTTCACCATACTGCGTGACCGACTCACGACCCCAAGTCATCGTCGCCACACGATCCAGCATATCACCTTCATAAGAAGCATCGATCCAAGTGCTAGCAGAAAACCAAGTCCCCTCGTAGCCTTCCAGGGCGATGCGCCGAAGGACTTTACCAGCCATTTCCACTGCGCTGACAGAAACGACGTTGCGCACGACAGTTATACTGGCTTCATCCAGCATCTCATTGAGGATGCGCTCCCCGACATGGCTCTCAAAAAGCCATCCAGGTGGGGAGTGACCTTCGGGGTACCATGCACCTGTTGGACGGCCAGGATATTGCAATTCCGTACGTATAAAAAACTCGCGCGTGATGCCTTGAATTACAGTGTCGTTAGCAGAATCTGTGTGCTGCAACCCGCCCGTCAGCATGCCACCAATGTGAGCACCCTGCGAAAGCAACACCACATGCCTAGCACCACTTCGCGATGCCGCAATTGCAGCAATACATCCTGCGCCTGTCGCACCATACACCAATACGTCGGCTGTTTCATCTACACGAAGCCACGAATCCGCCGAGAAACCAAGATACTCCAAGAAGATGTCCTGACCACTTACACGTACTCCAAGGAGTAGGCACAAAGAGATGATAGGCATTATGAGAGCATTGTTTACTTGATGTTGTAAAGGATGCGCTTCCTTCATCTTGATCCTAAGCGTTGATCGTTGGGGTCGCTGCCGCAGCGCCAGCCGGGCTGCAGC